GCTACATACCTGAGGGAATCTGCACAGCAATTACACAGGCACAGATGACGGCAGGGCAGAATGAGAGTGTCTCGCAGGTCACACATGCAGATCACACACTCAGCTCCATTATCCTCTGTGTCCTCCTCTGTTGCCACCTATGGAGTAAACAAGCACAATTTCCAATCCTTATTTCATGATAAAGAGGAACAAAGAGAGAGAGAGAGAGAGAGAGAGAGAGAGAGAGAGAGAGAGAGAGAGAGAGAGAGAGAGAGAGAGAGAGAGAGAGAGAGAGAGAGAGAGAGAGAGAGAGAGAGAGAGAGAGTGACAAATTCACTTCATGTCATAGTGTTTCTACACTTCCTATACTCTAGAAGAGTAGTTCTTAACTAGAGATATTCATACCTCTTGGGAGTATGGAATACAAATACAGTGGTATAGAATTCAATCTCTGGATATTGGTATTTATTTAATATATTAATATATAATGTCTCAATATCCTGCTGGTTCATATCTAAACACGAAACTTAAGTACTAACCTAGACTTTCATGAACAAAAGAAGCAGAAACAACAAATGATGTTTCTAAAAGTAACCGGGCAAACAATAACGATCATTTCCACAGTTAAGTGAAGTGAGTATGGGACCATATAGGACAATCTGGTAAATGTATATGATAGGACTGCACCTGTCAGAGACGAAGTCCCCAACTCCTGCCAACAAGGTTGGGGGATCCTGTGGGGAATCGGGGGTGGGGGGGGGATTTCCTTCATACCATGCATTTTAAAAAGCAAAAGAATGTGGGAAATTGAAAATCCAAGCCAAGGATACTATTTCAGATGACAAAGAAAGTGGAAAATGTGAGAAGATTCGGATTGAGATGATTCAATACGGTGTTGCGCAAGTGAACGAGCGAGTGAACCGCATCTTAAATGCATGAACGACCAGTAGGATCGCCTTATGAACCAAAAAACCCTCCTAACCTGGGGGCTATGCCCCCGGACCCCCTCCCGATTGCTGTATTTCCCTAAAAAATACAAAATGAGTTTACTTTAAAGTTGAGGGGACAGTGGGAATTGACAAACCGCAGATGAAATTCTACAACTGGAACATGGTTATTGTATTTCCCTGAGTTTCATGTTATCCCCGATATTGTAACAATTTCAGTGAGAGATCGATTTCACCGCAAAAAAGTTGGAAAAAAATCAGAAATGCAAGTAGCACTGTAAACAACCTTCACCTTTGGAACAAACAACAAGAACTGTAACAACTGTCAAATTTGCCGGGAGAGGGCAGCGATGTGCAAGTATGGATATACCATGTATTTCTAATAAAACTATGGTACATATTTGGTAAAATCGATCACATCATGTATTTCAAGACTGAACATTTGAAAAATGCGTTTTTCGTTAAAATTTCATATAAATTAGAATACAGAAATACATTTTACTACAGTGCATTTATGATAAATTTGTCGAGATGTCACAAGCGACATGCGCCAAAACATTTCATGTTGGGTTCCCGCGCAGATAAGTGGTTTGCTGCAACGCGAGGGGGGTTCGACTTAGTCGCTGGAGGCTCATGGGGACTTAGTCCCCGCGCGGCATTCTGCGCGCCAACTTTTCCTTATTTAACTCAAACAGGTTCACTTATGCAAATCAATTTTGATAGCAATGCATGTAGTTTTTCATCGCCTACAACACTACGATCTTCAATTTTCTCCTAGTTGGTGCGGTCCTATCGTAAACCTTAACCAGACAATCTATTGGGGGAAATAGCATCTTGAAGAGCCTCAGAATCCGTGCTCTAGAACACGATCTTACTTTAGCATTGTCTGCTTTTTTGTTCTCAATGCCATAGATTTCCTGCAGGAGGTATGACAGCCCATCCACGAACAGCTTTTGCTTGAGAGGCTTCAAGACGTATCCCTCACTGTGCTTCTCCACCACAGCGAAGGTCACATGGGACTGGCGAGGCTCTGTGGAGAATTCATCTTCACATCATACATCATGGTTGCCCTTTCATGTGTAAGCTAATGACACAGTCAATTAAATGCTGATCAATAAAACAAAAGCAGATTCTCAACAGGTAGTCCAACTTCAAGACTTCTCTATGCTTTAGTTACATATCTTTGATTTTCTTTTCCCTTATCTCAATAATATTAGAGTCCATGAACACACATACTAAAAATGACACTGGTTCTATATTCCTGACCATCCTGTAAAGATTCTTGTTACCTTGACATAAGAAAAGGGGGGGATGAATACACCTAAAGGACCATAATATAATAACCAACCTTCTCCTTCTTCCGCCAGACAGTAAATGACAATGGGCATAACTTCACGGTCAAAACTGTACATCAGATCTTCCTCGGGGTATAGTGATGGGTCGAATACATGGCAAACTTGTGAAAACTGTTGATTTGCTCCTCGCTTGTAGTGGTAAGTCTCTGAGTTCATGTTTGGATCACGTGGGGTGTAGCTGGAAGATGAGACATTAAAGTTAATCTTTGTATGTGTGCTTCTATTGCTCAGAGAGATGTCAAACCTTATATCTGGCATATATTGCCAAATGACGGAACTACATGCATTTATCTATCTATCAACAGATTATGAAAAATGAGAAACAAAAACTCAATAAACAGAAAATCAGTGTTCAGCAAAATATTCATCAATAATATTCACATAAAACAATAGTTCCAATATGTCATACTATACACTAATACATACAACAATCCTCACAGAACTTACATTATTCCATTGCTTGTCACCTCTTCAGTACAGAAGTACATGATGGTTATAGCACATCGCACATCACAGTCAAATGTGAATTCAATGTTAAATCTAGTTGTGGCTGTTCTATCCTCTGCCTCTTTTAACATGGCAGAGTCGTCTGGTGCACGCACAAAACGCAAGCTCTCTTTCCTTATATTGAGGAGTGCCTTCAGCGTTTTGCTTGGCTCATTTGCTGTTGGAGCAGGATATGGAAACTGAAAGAGAAGAGAGAGGTTCAAATTTAACTTTGTGATGTTCATCCCATTGGTATACATAATCTCTTGAAGGCTAGTACACATCTCTTGAAGACTCGTGCATATGATGCTAATAATAAACTGTCTTCAAGAGTTTCTTTGGTAAAAATTTACTTGACCAGACATACTTCAAATAAATAAATATATATATAAATCTGACTTCAAGGAATTACAAAAAGACTTACTGGAGCTGGACGAGAACCTAAGAAGTTTACATCCATGTTCTCACCAAAGAGATACATCTCTGGCACTGCTGTGTCAAATCGTTCCCCTCCCATAATGAAATAACTGCTGAAGTAGTTTCCTGGAACACAGTGCAACAAATAAATTTCCATAAAAAAAGAAAAACAATTATATACCGAAAGAATATCCTTTAATACAAATGAGTTCCTATAGAGGAACAAAAATAAAAAGGAAGAGTATCCTGGAACACAGTGCAACAAATAAATTTCCATAAAAAAAGAAAAACAATTATATACCGAAAGAATATCCTTTAATACAAATAAGTTTCTTGAGGTAAAATGTTGTCACTTTCTTAATACATAGCATATAAATAGTAGTAAAATCAATAACAAGTATTGTGAATGCTAGAACCATACTATAAATACTTTAGATAAGAAAGTAAAAATAATTTGCCACAATAAAAATAAAGAAAGTTGCATGAGCCTTCCTGATGACACATCATGTGATAAACTATAAGTAATCTATATAACTGCTGCCCCTTTACCATCTGTGATTCAGTATCAGCTCAGAATTTATCTAAACCAACCTGAATCAACTTATCCTAACAGTGGTAGATAAATGATTCTATTGTTATATATTTCAGTCTCACTATGGAAACACATGAAGAAAAATAGATTAGCTGTAATATATAATTTTCATTTTACAAAAAAATAAAAACTTCATCTGATTCATATTACTACTTTTAAGTATATCTTCCATGTGGAAGTGAATCCAATTTCATTATTAACCATTTGTACAGAAATATGTGTACTATCTATTGTAAATTTTGTTGCATACAGATGGTTCCAAAAGTGTTCAGCCAGTGAAGAGTCAATTAATACCCCAACATAATTTCACCTGATTTCCTTTTGTTAAAATTTTCAGGAAAAAAAGGAGTTTCTAATACTGTGAAAACTGATAATACTAACATTATTTGGTATTATGAATATTATAATAGTATTGAAATACTGATAACGATAAAAAATGAGAAGGCATCTTTCTGAAAATCGAAGGTAAGGGCAAAGAGGACAGATTGATAGGACCAGTAATTGATTCCTTGGTAACTAAAGAGCCACCTCAGTGTATATATAACAGTGGATATGGCATATACGTCATATCCTCCCAGCACAATGGGATCATTATCATCATAATGAATACCACTTCTGTTACTGCACTAATAACCTAATTACTATTGCTTTTTTCATCATTATCATCGTAAATGTCATTATCATTGAAGGCCATAATTTGAACTTAATCATCGTTGCAACTGGGATTCTTCACAAATATCTCGGGTATACTCATTCTATGTCTTATAAAATCACATATAAATAGACATGAATGACCAAACACCATCTTCCTTAAAATTACAATAAAATAAAAACATATAAAACAGAAAAATAACACACATAAATGAATAACAAAAATCAAAACAATGATAAATCAAAAGAAAACAAAAATTAAAAACAAAAAGTAAAAGTTACTAAAACGACCAAACAACAACAAATGATATAAATGATACCATAAACCAATACCAAAACAAAATAATGCAAAACAACAAAAATAACCCAAATGAAAATAACACCATTTGGTTTTCTTCTCCAGATTATTCGTGACCTACACTCGCACTAACAAAATTTACCTGATTTTGGAGGGTATCTATAGGCGTGGTTGACCCCAATATCCACTTCCTCCACACCAGCGTTCTGTCTACTGGTTATAGCCCCCATAATTGCCTCATTAAATGCCCCAAACCGCTGAGAAATAAATGAAAACTGAGGGAGCGTCGCCCTCCGTCTCTTTTTCCCTCAAACAGCTGATCGTGTTTACATTAAAGTATAGACGACGGAATGTTACCTTCAGGCTCGATGCGTCAAAGGAAAATTCTACTGTCTATAAGGAATCAAGTACTTTAAACTGACAAGAGTTGTTACAATATTTTTTAATACTACAGAAATTTCAGACTTATAGATATACTTAATTATAGATAAAGTAATAATCGTAACAAATTAGATATTAAAATAGACTGCAACACTTCCAAACTCACTATTTCAGAACAAATCGAAAATCTAATAACAGTCGTATACAATAGTATATGATTATTATAGCAATAACTCAGATACTTCAAGATTTTAGATGATTGGAAAAACAAAGAGAATATATATATTTTGATCCTATCTCATTTTCCCGACTGGTGTTCATCTTTTTGTTGTCTTTCTTTCATCTATATTTTTGGTGATGTGACAGCAAGGACTGCGGGTGAATTAAACCTTTTTTGTTATTTTAATCTTTTTAAACAAGTTTAGAGGAAAGGTAAACTTAGAGGGAAAATTATTGTTATGAAAATTAATTTTATATCTTTAGATGATGAAAATATCAGTAATCAATGTCTTGTTAAAAGAAAAAGAAGTTAAGTCAAACAAGTAAGGAAATTATCATTATTTTTCATTTTTATTTTCATTTACTATTTTACAGACAACATTAGTAAATATTCTTCGAGTTAAAACAGTTCCACTGCCAATATTAGTGTACACTCTAAATACTTAAAGCTTAAAACTCATAAATCAAAGACGGACCCGAGACCGACACCCTGTTGAAGAGTTCACTAGAAATGCTTATTAAAGTTTATGTGATAAGTTATGCATGTCTCACATTTTTATGTATTCTTACCTGTGCTTTATCCACCAGACTATGTACTATCTCAGTGTCTTTGGCACTCTAGCTAAAGCCATGAAACTTTCAACACTAGGACAAGTTCAGATGAGTAGTCTGATCTGTGGGCTCATGCCTGGTATTTGACAAGTGATGAGTTGGGCAAGCTACTTACCTAAGAATCAGTTTTTGATAGTTTGCTTGTCTCTGGGCGTTCCTGTTGATCAGGCTTGCTCGTCTAGATATGCCTTTATATTTTGGGGAAACAAAACTTTTAGACCCCGGAATTTATCATCAGCTAAGGAATGGGCCAAATTTATTCGATGCCAGAGTATTCAAAATAGAAGATTGTTGGTGCCTAACTGCTGAAGGCAGCAGCATTTTGTTGAAGCTATCACGGTGGCCATAAGAATAATATTTGTTTGATATCTGCAGAAGCTATTGATATTACTTAACACTGAGCCACTACTGAGTTGGTCTTATGTCTATAGACAAATGATATTGCAAATGATTATATTCTAAAAGCTGTTGAACTGTAAAGAATCTGTAGTGGAATGCAGTACCTGTTTTTCATTCAGCATGGTCAGTATTTGTAAAAGTGTCTAATTACACACTTGGTGCCAGCAGATCTAATGAAGAACATAGATAAGGAGGAAGACAAACATAATTGTGTATCTGATAGATGTAATTAGACATGTATGGGCCAGATGTAACACGGAAAATTATTCTACAAAAGTTTTGAGATAGATCAAAAGAAGACAATGAGTATACTACACAAAAAGATCAAATATTGAGAATTTGGAAAATCTTTTGAATACATCTGATCATATCCCTTTTTTGTTTTTTATTAACATAAATTATTGTGATATATTAGTTTTATTAGAGAATTTAAAAGTTTTTTTGGTAATGAGGATTCATTTTGAAATGTTATATATGTAGAAATATGCTGGTTAATGTATGTCTATTTTATGTATATGTATATATGTGACAATAAGATAATCTTTTCAGCATAACACTGCAGCAGCAATGGCAGCTACAGTGTTTAAAGAATTTCAGGAAGATGGTAATGAAACATTTAGTTTAGTTATTCCTTAATGAAATTTGTTTTAGTTATTCCTCATTGATGATTTTTAAACTGTTTTTATGAATGACACATTTTTTTAAGGAATAGCATTTACTTATTATCATGTAGTTAATCATTATCTTTTTGAGTGCTGTAGTCTTGTAATACAATATGTAACAGATTGTTGATCATTTGGCTAATGTATGCATTTCTTTTTCAAGTTACTTATGCGCCATTTCTGGAGGAGGACTTCGATGTCCAGAGCCACACCAGTCAGATGGTTCAGGGTGTTGTCATTGCTGAACAGCTGAATAAACTTACTCTTGGTATGTTGGTTTAGGGAATAGGAAGGAATATGGTAGCTGTCATTTAGATAGTGATGAATAGATCAACAGGTGCATAGTTATTCTTATACTTTATTGAGAGTTGTAATGCTTTGTCATATATTAACCCACTTACGATGGGTGTCACACATATGTGGCACCCGGAAAAATAAACATTGCTGGGCGTCTTGCCGGTGTGATACTGGATTGGAGCTTGTGCTCTGATTCTATTGCGAGCTGCAGCCGTTGAGCGGGCAGCCCTGTGTGTGCGATTTTGAAGCTGCCAAGAAACTAATATTTTCGGCTTAAATATATACTGTCACTAGCTGGTTAATTGTAGAGTAATTGTGAATAAGAATGAATGATTTCACAAAGATATATGATTAATGTATGGGAATTAATAGCGATTCATCAGAAATACACGATGAAGATGCTACACTGAAAGGTCAATTACAGAGTCTTAGATTGTGAAATAGTGCATTTTTCACAATGAACTCTGCCTTCCTTTTCATCTGAAGTCCTCTCCAAAATTTGACAGGAATTAACCGTTTGGAACGTGAGATAGAGAGTCAGGTTGGGAGCCACTATGAAGATCTTCTGTCACAGGCTACAGGAGTTGAGACATTGGAAGATGTTCTGAATACAATGCATACCAGAATCCAGGTATAAGAAGTAGAAGTTTATTGTGCAGTTTTTATTATGAATATGGCATTCTTGATCGTGAAATAATTGTGTATACAGTGCATAGCTCATTTTTAAAGATTTATAGGTTGGTAATCGAAACTTAAAATTAGTTGTTTTTTATCAAGTCTCTTGGGCGGTACACAATTTTTGTAAGATAAACCTTTGAACATATACATTTCTGTATTTCCAGACACTTCTGGCTGGAGTGGAGAGGCTCAGAGTGCGAGTTGTGGATCCGTACCAGAGAGTGGAGAAGCACACACTCATCCTGGGAAGACTTCAGGCCACCTGTGAGCTCCTGAGAAGAGTCATACGCTGTCTCATGTTGTCACAGAGGCTACAGCAGCAACTTGCCAATGGACCTCGGGATATAACAAAAGCAGCAAGCAGTCTAAGTGAACTAGGTAGATACAAGTCTTCTTCTTCTTCTTCTTCTTCTTCTTTTTAGATACTATGTTCAAAGGCATTGCAAGTTTTTTTCATGTGTATTAGACATACAGTGAAATGAAACAAGATGATAAAATCATTTACCAGCTGGCAGATTAAAGGTTTTGTAGTATTGTATAAAGAATTGGAAGTTTCTGAGGTAATGTATTCAAATCTGTCTCATCTCATATGGTTTCCAAAATGCCCAGACTTTTACTGTCCTTTTTCACTAAACATCTGTTCATCCCACAGACCACCTGGGTCGTGATGTGGATTTAACAGGGTTGGAGGTCCTAGAAAGGGATCAAAGACTAGTGCGGCAGGCTCGTTCTGATGTTGAGAAGCAGGCTGTGGCAATGATGGACCGTGGTATGGAGGCACAAAACCAAACTCAGGTGAGTCAGGTTATGTTGTTCAATTCTTTTCTCTCTTTTTTTATTTATTTGTTTATTTATATTATTGTGTTTTTGTATTGAGACTTAACTCTTCCTTTTTTATTATTGATATTACTCTTGTTATTCCTCTCTCCAAGTAATGTTAATGGACTTAGTGTGAGCTACAAATTTTGGAAGCTAAAAGATCTGAAGAACTGCATAAGAGAAAGTATTGATAATATTAGATAATTGATTTGAATTTAGAAAATTAGTCTTGTAAATAAAAATGCTATAGGTCATGTTTTTTATGATCACAGGTTGCAACAGCTCTTCAGGTATTCCACAACTTGGGCATTCTTGTTCCAAGTGTAGAGAAGGTACTAGAATCCCTGATCACTCGCCTCAACAATAGTGTGTCCCTCTCGCTCGATGTCAATGCACTCACTCAAGTGAATCAGGATACAAAGAAAGGTGGGTGTGTTATCCCACATACAACGGGTGTCACACATATGAGACACCTGGCAAACTAAACATTACCAGGTGTCCTGACGGTTACAACATTCTAGTCACTTATCTGCAATCTTTATTAACTTTTCACAGCTGCCCCTACCATAATTTTAAACATTCCTTAACCCATTTACGACGGGTGTCCCACATATGAGACACCCGGAAAAAAAAAATTGCTGGGTGTCCCGCCAGTGTGCCGCTGTATCGGGGCTCGCGTTCCAACTCAGCAGTGGGCCGTGGCCGATGTGTGGGCAGAGTTCGGGCCAGCCCCATGCTCCGATTTTGTAACCGCCTGGAAACTTTTATTTTCGACTTCAAAATAGTTAGTGGGTTAAACAAAGCTAACACGAAAGGGGGTTGTGCCATTCTGAAGTAGATGATTTTGCAACACAGCATTAGAATAGAAAATAAGTGCTGTAACTTTTAATTTTTTTTTTTTTTTTTTCATATTTTCAGCTGGTCCTGGAAAAGCTATCATGCCTGCACCAGGACAATCTGCACAGTTCCGAGCCTCTTTGTGGTCAAACCTTGAGAAGCTGATGGATGATATATACCATGTTTGTGTTCAGACATCACATCTTCATAAGGTATGATTTGATTAGATGTTTTAGTGATAAGTAGTCAAACATTTTAACAATAATAAGTAAATTGTGTATTAGGTATTGAATGACCTTGAGAAGACAAGGCTCATGAAAGGTCTTATGGAATTATTTATATGTCATTTTCTTTATTCGTCAAGGTCTTAGCAAAGAAGAGGGATCCTGTGACTCACGTCTGCTTCTTGGATGAGGTGCAACGTCACAGCAACAGTGACTTGTTTACACGGGTATGGAGGAACATCACCCGCATCTTGACGGAAGAATTTGCAAAAGCTGCTCAGGGTGAGTTAGTGAGTTAGAGTCTCACTTCCTTATTCTGATCCTGTCCTGCTTATTTATGTATTTGTTTATTTGTTTTATTCATGATTTTAGGTACACTGAGAAATGTTGAGATTGTGGATTTTTTGATAATCATAATTTCTGTTCCCCCCCCCCCCACCTCAGAGGTTACTCATAGAAATTCCTACAGTTTCCTTTCTTTTCAATGGAAATTTACATAAATAGACTTCAAAGGCATACATATATAAAGAATATCAGATTTATGAAGTAAGTCTTAGGTTTTGAGTTATTGCATGTTTAATGGCCCCACCTTCCTTTTTTCTTTTTTTCCCCCCAAATCCAAAATTGTTCAATCATTCCTTTCCAATGAAAAAAAAAACTTTTGGAGAGTACACAAAAAAGCTGTGACATTGAATTTTTACCAAATGAAGAAATATGTGAAATTCTTCTTCATTTATCCATATATTAGTGTCCCCTCAACTTAGTGAAGGGTAACTTTGAAGTGTTATTTTGAACATTATTCAATAGCCCTGCCTTATTTGTTGATCATACAAAATTGTTGATATCACTATATTTGTATACTTTTATGTTATTCTTTGTGTGCGGTGACAAGACTGCTGCAATGTTATTATCTCATTTTCTGCATAAGCGTTTTGATTTTTTTTTTTTTTTTTTTTTTTTTTTTTTTTTTTTTTTTTTTTTTTTTTTTTTTTTTTGCCATTTTCCAATGTGAATATTTGTCATTTGATTTGCTTTATTTCAAGAGTGACAGACCTTTTCCTTGAACAGACATCTTTCTAGGTAGTCCTTAACTTAGTTCAGTGGTAATAACAAGGAGTAACATTTTATTATTTGTGTCATTTTTAAAGTATTTTCTTAATGACAAATTATCTGTAATATGTGTACGACTGGTCAAGACGGACAGGAATAAGATCCTTAGTATAGAAACAGCGTCCTCACTGGAGCTGGCACTCTCCAAGTGATGGCTTATGGACATTACAAGCCACACTCATTTGTAGATGGAAATAGTGTGAAAGTCCCTTCCCAAATGAGTCTAATAACCTTCCAAGAGGTTTGTGTACTCAAGGCAAGTCATTCCTATTGCCCCAGCCTTCAGCCAAAATGCTCAGGATGGCAAGTTCGCATCACCCTGGCCAAATTTCCCCTTGACATGTTCATGTCACCTGCCTGTCAAGCCAAATTTTTTCATGTGATGGTCATGTCATCTGGATTGTAGGGGTTAATATCTCAGTCCAGAAATTTTGTAACAGTAAGAGGAAGGAATGGAGTTAATGCAAATCATAGTAGGCCATCTGTTTACCAAAAGTATATGTGCCTTGTAGATTCTCCATTCATCCGCCAAGCCCTAGAAGTGGACTACCCCAAGCTGGTCCGGCTTTATGGGGATTTGTGGCGGAGGCTCGAGGGTATCAGCCTGGAGATGAGGCACACGTCCACAGACATTTCTACTTCTGGTGTAGATGGAGACATTGGTGAAGACGACGAAGTAGATAAAGGAGACAAGAAGATTGAGGAGTTTGAGTGAGTTTGATCCTCATTTTCCAAAGTCTGGTGTTTGTATTTCTAAGACAGTTGATTTTTTCTTTTTTTTTTTACTCATGTATAATGATATTTGTACTATATTTTAACTTATAACATTGTTATAATCCCTATATTTGATTTTACTTTCATTTTTCCACAGTCCAGAACAAGCTCTTCGACATACCTTGGTGCCTCTAGAGAAAGCCTACCTCTCTAGGTCTCTTTCTCGCCTCTTTGATCCTGTCAACCTAATGTTTGCTGCGCAAGATGCCCCTCCTGCTAAGGATGAAGTTGATGCCTTAATAAAAACTATTACAAGGTAAGAGTCTTCAGGTTTTATACACATGCACGCACACACGCAGGCAGGCACGCAAGCACGCACATATATACATAAATTTATTTTTATCTATCTATCTATCTATCTTTGTTTCTATATATGTTGCACACACACACACACACACACACACACACACACACACACACACACACACACACACACAACACACACACACACACACACACATAATATATATATATATATATACGTATATATATATGTTATTTATAATGCATATATTATATATAATATATATATATATATATATATATATATATATATATATATATATATATATATATATATTTATAAATATATATATATATATATATATATATTATATATATATATATATATATAGATATAGATAGATAGATAGATAGATAGATAGATAGATAGATAGATATAAATATATATAAATATATATATAAATATATATATATATAATATATATATATATATATATATATATATATAATATATATATAT